GACCTGTCCGTCCTCCCTGGACTGACCTATCCCCTCCCTAACTCCCCGCCTACACTCACCTTTACTGGTTCCATCCCCGCCTCTTTGACCTGTCTGTTTCCTCTCCACCTATCTTCTCCTCTAGCCATCTTCTATCCGCCTCCCCCTCTCTCCCTATTTATTTCAGAACCCCCTTCCCCTCCCCCATTTCTGATGAAGGGTCTAGGCCTGAAACGTCAGCCTTCCTGCTCCTATGATGCTGCTTGGCCTGCTGTGTTCATCTAGCTCTACACCTTGTTATCTCAGATTCTCCAGCATCTGCAGCTCCTACTATCTCTGGCAGAATTTACTTGTTCTGTTTCACCTAAAATTATGTACATTTCTATAGTATCTGCTCTTATTTGCCACATCTTTCAAAGCTGAAGAGTCCAGGTTTTTCTAACCTTTACTCATAAACGTAGTTCTGTCACTTTACGGATTAGCCTCATGACTCTTCTCTGCACAATTTCTGACTTGAATGTTTGTTGTATCTTGTTCAGCAGAACTGAACATTATAGCATTTTTGTATTCTCACTGAAAGCACCCAGCAAGCCGGGCAGTACTTGTAGGAAAGGAAATATAGTCTGTGTTTTACATCAATGACTTTTTATGAGAACTGAAAGAAGGTAGAGGTGAACCATTTTTCTAAACAATTGCGAATTAAGCGAAAGGGAGTTGGGAAGGAACAAACTGAAAGGTGACCGATAAGGTAGAAGAAAAGTGTAATTCATTAACTAAAATAGATGATAGTACAAGGCATAAAGTAGTGTGAATGATCACAAGAAAAGAGAAAATAGATGAGTTCAGAAGCGGTATAAACAAGAGAATAGCAGTAGGGTGGAGGATTATGAATCCCTGGAAAATCTGTTGAAGTAGAGAATGTTCCTGTAGTCAGGAGAGTTGCATAAAGACAGATATTCAGAGTGCAGACTACCACCACTGGCTTAATGTTAAGGCTGTGAAGTGATGAGTAGAAAAATGTGGTGCTGTTCCATAAGCTTCCATTTAATGGAACAGTACTCAGGCAGCCAAGGACAACAAGGTCAAGGTGGAATGGCAAATTAAAGTAGCCAGTGACCAGAAGCTAAAACTGAGATAATTAAAAAAGTCATCACTCAGCGTTTTTACGCCTTGTTAGTGCTGAAGAGACTGTATTTTGAGTGGCAATTCAGAATGTTAATTTGGAAAAAAGTACAAGGTAATCACTCAGAAGATGTATTTGGGACCCCTGGAAGACATGAAGGGAAGTGGCGAAAGGACGAGTGTTGCACATCCTGCGTTTGCATGTGTATAAGCTAGCGCAGTAGAAGACTGGGAAGCAAGAACAATCCATTTGGAAGGCTGGAAGGGGAGGGGGAGATGTACTTTGGTGTTGGCAGCATTATGCTGGAAGTGGCAGAAAAAGTAGACTGACAGTCATAGAGTTGTATGGCATGGAAATAGATCCTTTGGTCCAACTCGTCCATGCTGACCAGATAGCCTAAACTAATCTAGTCGCGTTTGCCAGCATTTGGCCCATATCCCTCTTAAACCCTTCCTATTCATGTACCCATCCAGATGTCTTTTAAATGTTGTAATTGTATCAGCCTCCACCACTTCCTCTGGTAGCTCATTCCATACATGCACCAGCCTCTGCATGAAAAAGTTGCTCCTTAGGTCCCTTTTAAACCTTTCCCCTCTCAACTTGAATGTGGAAGATGAGGGCAAGGGGAACGCTTAGGTTTCAGAGAGGGAGGAAGAGGGAAGAGGGCTTAAGTGCAAGATGGACATGCTCAAGAGGCTGTGCAACTGCCATGGAGGAAAAGTTCTTTGATTTGGAATGTTAACTGTTGCCTTCTACAAAGATGCTGCCTGACCTGTTGATTTTTTATTCCCAGCAGTTTCTTTCCCGATGTTTGGTATACATAATATTTTACTTTTGTTACAGTATTTGAGGTATAGCCTGACCAGAGCCATTGCTTCAATGCCGATGTATTCCCGATATCAGTTTCTTCAATGCTTTTGAAGTAATTTAGTACCTTTCTTCAGAACATAGTATAACAGAACTTTATGATATTTTTGTTATTCTGGTCTACTATTAATTGTAAATCACTACTCATTAGTGTGATTTAGAATATGAATGGCCTCCTCCTGCTCCTATCTTCTATGTTTCTGTAATATGGTAATTCTAGGGAATGAAGCATGTGGCATCGTTGTCCAACAAATTAGTGGGCTCGCTGCCTGTATCAAATAGGAAACATCTACTTGCATGTGTAACTTCAATTTTTAACTTGAGCCAGCTGAGAATGTAATGTGACAGTAAAGAAGGTAGGTGTATAAATGTGCAAAGTTACTGAATAGACGTTTGTGGGCATTATGCTCAATATATAGGTAAATGCTTAAGTCCCATTCTAGTGGAAATGGGAGAACAAATCCAGAAATTGTAGAAAGTGACCCACTTATTGCTATTGTTTTAGCTCCGGTATTGTTTCCCTTGTCCCAGTGCAAAGCAGGAAGAGCCATCCCTGAGTCGGGCAGTAAGCCTACTTGAATTATTAATAATAGCACAATGATGCATATAGGACCCAATTATCACTTGTTGATGGTCAGAATGGCAGTTTGGCTGAAGGAGATAACTAAAGGAAAACTCCTTTTCATTTTTCTGCAGTGTTGAGGAGGAATATACCTCCAGGCTCAAGACGTTTACTGTGGGTAGCTGCTGCTACTACTGTCCATTTTGCAGATCTGGCCCCTTAGTGACCAAGGTCATTTTGCTGAGGATCAGTCACTATGCCTAATTTTGAGGCAGGTCAAAGCACCTCATTCATATGAAGGTCAATCCTTTAAATGAGAGAATATCCACCCCATGGAACACTGATTGGATTTCATAAATGTTCAAGACTAAGGATCTCAATGAAAATGAAAATAATTCACGTAGTGTAGTGGTATTCAGTTCTAGGTGGAAACATGATGGCTAGAAACAAGAAATTTGTCCACATCATTGGCAGTTATACAGGTATCTAAGTGACGTTGAGCAGAATATATTTTGGAAAGCTATTTTGTTCATTCAGATACAGAAATGAGCAGTAATTTGTCAAATCAACACTTTTTTCCTCTCAAAAATAGTAAGGGGTGACTCGTGCTGAAGATGACTAAGAAACGAAGGAATAATGGACGTGCCAAGAAGGGCCGTGGTCATGTACAGCCCATCAGATGCACAAACTGCGCCCGCTGCGTCCCCAAAGACAAAGCCATTAAGAAGTTTGTCATCCGCAACATCGTGGAGGCTGCAGCAGTTCGAGATATTTCAGAGGCCAGTGTTTTTGATGCATACGTGCTGCCCAAGCTGTATGTGAAATTACATTACTGTGTCAGCTGTGCCATCCACAGTAAAGTGGTAAGAAATCGTTCACGTGAGGCCAGGAAGGATCGAAGCCCCCCTCCACGTTTCAGACCAGGCGCCAACATCCCACGGGGACCTCCTCCCAAGCCTATGTAAATAGTAGCGGATCCTATTTGAAATAATAAAATTGTTGGACCACTTAAAAAAAAAGTCTCATTATTTCCAGCATAATCTAAAGGTTCTTTGAAATCACACTCCTGTTAATCAGAAATTACAGCTGCAGTTCACCACTGGTGAGTTTATTCATGGTTAGAGTTTGGACCGATGTAAATAGAGGTTCACTGCTTCCCCATTAAGTAGGAGGTAGATGGAAAGGTCACTGCTGAATTTCCGGATCGCACTTGCATATCTTTTTGCAGCTCTTATACTGTGTCATTGACAAAGATATTGAAAATATCAAAAGGTACTTGCTGTTTCCATTTGTATAGGAAAAGCCTGAAAGGGAGAGAAGTCATATTAAAATAGACGGCAGTACTCCTTTTAACTTATTTGTCACTTAGTGGTATTTGCTTTATTATGATATCATCAGTGAAATAATGGAGCTGCTGTGATCTAAATTGCCTAGCAACATAGAATTATCTACGTTTACTGCATTCATATGCATAGCATGCCTAAAGTTTTCTTAGAAATCAATGCATCTTCACTCTGCAATTAATCTGTTTACAAGGGCTTGCTTAAGGTTGCCCTTAAGCAGACATCACAGATCTGTTAAGTCTTACCATTTTTCTTTTTTTATTCATGGGATGTAAGTATCGCTAGCCAGGCCAGCATTTATTGTCCATCCTTAATTCCCTTTGAGAAAAATGGTGTTGTGAGCTCCCTACTTGAACCTCTGAAAACCATTTAGTGTAGGTAGGATTCAGATTTTATTTTAAGGGAATGTTTTGTGATTTTTGATCCTGCTGACTATGTTTCCTTGGGTGGCACGGTGGCTCAGTGGTTAGCACTGCTGCCTCACATTGCCAGGGACCTGAGTTCGATTCCAGCCTTGGGCAACTGTCTGTGTGGAGTTTGCACATTCTCCCCGTGTCTGCGTGGGTTTCCTCGGGATGCTCTGGTTTCCTCTCACAGTCCAAGGATGTGCAGGTTAGGTGGATTGGCCGTGCTAAATTGCCCGTAGTGTTCGGGGATGGGTCTGGGTGGGATGCTCTGAGGGTCAGTGTGGACTTGTTGGGCCAAAGGGCCCATTTCCACACTGTAGGGATTCTATTTAAAAAAAAGTAAAGGAATGGCAATATATTTTCAAGTCAGGGTGATGTATGACTTTGAGGGAAATTTGCAAATAGTGTTGTTTCAACATAACAGCTGACCTTGTTCCATTAAGTGGTGGAGATTGTGGATTTTGAAGGTGCTGTTGAAGAAGCAGTGACAAGTGCTGCAGTGCATCTTTTAGCTGATATACACTGCTGCCACTGTGCGCCACTGAATGTTTACAGTGATGCCAATCAAGTAGATTGCTTTGTTTTTCATGATGTCAATCTTCTTGACAGTTGGACAATATTCTATCATTCTCCTGACTTGTGCCTTGTAGATGGAGAATGGGCTTTGGGGAGTCAGGAGATGAGTTACTTCACAGAAGTGTTATGGTGCAGAAGGAGTCTATTTGGCCTAGCATGTCTGCACCAGCTCATTAACTGAGCATCGTTACCTTGTGCCAATCTTCTGCTTTTTACCCAAATCCTTGCAAAGTATATTTATCCAAATAATCATTCAATGCCCACTTGATTTCCTCACTTGGCATACATTTCCTGGCCTCTGACCTGCTGCTGTAGCCACAGTATTTAAATAGCTGGTCCGGTTCTGTTTCATCTCAGTGGTAAACCTCAAATACGTATAGGGGAATTCAGCAACAGCAATGCCATTGAATGCAAAGGGAAAATGGTTTGATTCTCTTTTGAAATGGTAATTGCCTGGCACTTCTGTGACATTAATGTTACTTGCAAATAGTAACTCTACCCATCATGTGTTGTAGATTATGTAAATGCATCTGTTCTTGCAAATAACACTCATCGCTCTCATGACTAAACTGGCAGCCCATTTTGATACTAGGCAATACAACCTGAGAAACTTGCATTTGTTGAGTCAGCTAATCTCAACCGAGGCTGAAAAGTGTGAATGATCAAACTTGCCCCCAATGTTCCCAGTTGAATACCTTGCTGCTTGTCACTTCCATGACCAATGTAACATGTCGTACCTTTCGTATCCGTGGGATGTCACAAAGGGCTTCATAGCCAATGCCTACATTTAAAATGTTGTCATTATTGTAATGAGGACAAATGTGGCACCTAATCTGCACACCAAAGTTCCCACAATAGCAGTGATATGAGCAGTTTTATTATTGATTGAGGAATAAATATTAGGTTGGACATTGGGACAATTTCCATGGTCTTTGAATTGTACAATGTGATATTTTGTGAGATCTGACAATCTCAGATGAAGGCTGTGTTTAACATCTCATGGAAATGACAGTGCATCCGTGAGTATTGCACTGAAGCACCAGCCTAAATAACATGTTGGAATCTCTCGGGTGTCAAGTCTTGAATCACATACCACCCACCATAGGTGCGAATGCTAACAGCCAGTAAGCGACAGCTGACTTGTGAAGAGTACGATAGAAATTGAGTCCTTCCAATGGAACCATACTGGCAGAGTTTTAAAACTTTGTGAAACCTGAATGCAGTACACATATATCAATTGTATTTATCATTTATTTGAAGTTAAAACAAGTGCTAAGGTATAACTTTGAAATATTAATTTTTGCTCTTCAGTTAATTGTTCATCATTATTGATGATGTTTGTGTCAAAGTGGAACATTTATAGAATGTTTTTGCATCACAAAGCCATAAAATAAGTGAAGATAAAAGAACAACCATAGCACATTACTCTCTCCAAAATGACCTTAGGGTATCCTCGTTCCTACTCTGATAAATATTTAAAATTTTTTTTGCACTTAAATATTGAGACCTGCTCTTTGTTTTTGATCTCTTAGTTCACTTGTATTAATTTTCACGGTAAACTTTGAAGTATTGATTCAAATTTACTTTAGACTATTTATTGGCTTAGAGGTTGATGCTCAGTTGTCTTGTTCAAACCTGAAGTGGCAAGGTACTCCTATCTTTACTCCTTCTGTTCTGTAACACTTGTTATTGGCCTTGTGGCTTTGCTCAACAATACAACAAAAAGTGTGATTGCTTTAGATACAAACAGGGGATATAGTGCTCCCAACTATAGCCTAACAAGGACAGGCATGTTTTCAGTTTTACTGAATATTACTGGCTGCAGGACATACTCCGAAGATGAGGAAAACAGTCAGAAGTTATGATTTCCATTGAAACCAGTGACATAGATTGGAAAAGGAGGAGGTCCTAGATACAGTTTTGTGGACTCCAGAAAAGATCAAAGGGCAAAATCTCAAAGGTGGTCATCTTTGATGTGTTTCCAGTCCTACATTCTGAATACAAAAATAGGATGTCTTTTATACTTTTGTGGATGTGGCACCACTGGCAAGGACAGCATTTGTTTCCCATCCCCAAT